ACGTTTCGTTACCATGCTTGGTAACATCCTCAGTGCAGCCTCCAATGCAGCGTTGGGAAAACACAGCGACGCTTCATTGGAGGCTGCACTGAGGATGTTACCAAGCATGGTAACGAAACGTCTGCAAAACAACAAATCAGCTCAGCGAGCCAACCAACCTCAACACCCACAACCTGAGCTACAGATTTACTCCAAAACCTTAGAGAGGGCATTACTTCAGGATAAGTGGTTGTCCATTTAAGATGGAGACAAAGAGGAATTTCTTCTCTGAGGGTAGTGAATCTGTGGAATTCTTTACTACAGAGGGCTAATTAAGTCATTAAGTATATTCAAGACTGAGACAGATGGATTTTCGATCAGTAATGGAATCAAAGGTTATGGAGGTGCTGTGGAGTCTGTGGACCATATGTGTATTGGGTGTGAGCATTTGCGCTCCCTTTTTTAGTTATCTAAAAGACCTTCTCCTCTGCTTTTGGTTGCACTTCAGTCCCATGCTCCTGATGTTTAGACACCCAGTGCAGAGGGGTGTGGGCCAGGTGGAGGATTTCCTTGTGGGCCTTGCCAGGCTGGCTATGAACAGGTCAAGGCAGTGGGCCGTGGAGGGGGTCATTTCTGCCAACTGCTTGATCCTCTTCCGCGGAGAGGAAGTACATGGTGTCCACCAACAGTCTTGATGCCTTTAGGGAGAGTTGGGCACAACAGGGGGTGGAGGAATTATTTCCCCCGCAACTCTATTTTGAGTTGATCCCATCCTCCCTTTCACTTTTTTTGATTAAGAATTGCTCCTACCATGTGCCCTGGCAACATGGGTGTTTTTCCTGGTGGTGGAAAATGTTCAAATAAAATTATTTGCATGTGCTGTTTTTACTGACTCCTGCACTTATGAGCACATGCACACACTGACAGACAGACACGCACACTCACTCTCACACTTCACATACACACGCACACGCTCACATATACTCTCTCTCTCTCTCTCTCTCTCTCTCACTCTCTCTCATATTCACTCTCTCTCACATTCACTCTCTCTCACAACGTAGGTGCTGAGGGGAAAAAAATAAGCACTACTGCTGGAAAGCAGTATATTTTTTATATAGCGCTACGCTACTACTATATAGCAGTATTGTAGGAGTATTACAAAAAAATATAACCAGGAGATTAGAATCTCCTCAGTTCAGAAAAAAAAAGCAAAAAAAAATCAGGTTATGGCAAAAAGGAGGAAACTGGAAATGAAGGTTGTCAGATCAGTCATGATATCATTGAATGGTAGAGTAGACTCGATGGGCTGAATGGCTTACTTCAGTTCCAACATCTTGTGGTCTTAATGTTGGTTGTTATTGCAAGGGGGATGGAGTATAAAAGAAGGGGAATCTTGCTGCAGGGCATTGATGTGAATACAGCCAGAGGACTGTGTCCAGTTTTGGTTTTCTTATTTAAGGACAGATATACTTCCTGTGGGGGCATTTCAGAGAACTTTCTTGAGGTTGATTCCTGGGATGAAGATGTTCTTCTGGGGAGGAGAGGTTGAGCAGGTTGGGCCTAGCATCTCTCTCAATGGTGATCTTAATGAACTAAGTAAGATGCTGAGGGGGACCAGGTAGACTCTGAGTGAATG